TGCAAAAATATTTTTTTGAACTTGTTGACCTTTGGCAAAACCTTAATGTTTAAATTCAGTATATGTTTTCAGTTTGTTTTAATAAAGGGAGATCCTTTTTGTTGCCTCTTTATCTTTCTATCTATCTATCGATCGATCTATGCGACAATTTTTAACGAGAAGTTCATAAAATTAAACTCAAGTAAAAAATTGAATTATTCATTCTAATTGAAAACGTTAGACAAAGCAGTATAACGTTGTCAAATTTAAGAAACTCAAATTGTCTTAAGATTTAAAGACACTGACTGTATCGAAGGTGAGATAAGATGTAAAGCCGACCGTCTCACTAGCCATCTGGATAGTGCCATGAAAAATTCTAAATGTTACGAGGCGCACGCGCACTTTAGTTACTGATACGGTGTAACATCATTCAAATGAGATATCGTGTAAATCATGGACTGGAGACTTGAAGTGAACTCTAGTATTGGATTTTAGTGTGTATCTTGTACAAACAAACAATGGCCAATGAACATGTTACATAGTACCCTAATGCTGCTTACAAAACAAATATTTGCATGTCAGTTCTTTAAAAAATTCAAAGTTCAGACTCCATATTCCGACTCCAAAACCCGCTCTTCCATTACTCAGCTCTAATTCTCCAGTCGATAAATTACACAGTGCCTGCAGACGAAAGAAATAAATGTCTACAGGCATGTCATTGCAACCTTTCAATTCCTATAGCAGACATAAAGCATAGAACCTGTATATAAAACGAGTGTATTTATCCCCCTCTGATGCAATTAATTTGTGTATAAAACCTATCTGATATACCATAACAAACTCGCACTTGCTCGAGGTTGTTTTAGTTAAACTAAATGTTTAAAACGTTAAACAACTTTTATTCAACTACTTTGTCGAATTGTCACAACATCCCCAGTAGCAAATCCATTATCTGAGACGTTTAAAGCAGTTCTGAGAAGTTAATTAAATATCTACATGTGGCAACGAACAAAGCGAAGACCATTATCATCCTACCCTTTGTAAGTTACCATACTGAGACTTAAGAATGCAATTTTTCATGTACAATACCAAAGAGTTTTGCCATTCTATCAGAGATCAAAGAGAAAAAAGAACTTTTAGTTATGAACATCTCACCAGTAGCCTCTATCTAGTTAATTAACAAAGAATGCAAACCACAACATAGTGACAACATGGTAAAGTCCGACTGATTTCACTTCACAAATACACATTAACATTCTAGGTATGGGTTTACTTTTGAAAAAATGGTTTGTATGCTGTTATATTTTTTTTATTAAGCTCAGAACAGAATGAATGGTTTGTATGTTCTCTGTTTTTTTATTAAGCTGAGAACAGAATGAATATTACAAATCATCCAATTATTTTTTATTTCTGGAAGTGATATAGTTATAAAAACATAAAATGATAAATTGATGCAACACAAGCTTCAGCTTACAATATATTGTGTCTAAACTAACTAAATACTGTAGTATCTGTTCAAGTTTCTGTTCAAAGTACTCAGTCACTCCATTAATCACAAGATCTTAGGATAAAGACACGTGACCTGACAAATTTCTGAAATGATCCTCAGAACGAGGAGTTTTTATCAGATGACTACAACTCAAAATCTTCACAGCTAGTGCAAACATGTGCAATATATAAGACATGCCAGACCTTCTTGTGATACGTAAAGTGATGTGACTGTAGCTACTCGAAGTGTCTTATTAATAAAAACATGTAGACATATTATTGTTAAGAGACACATTACACCATTAACTTTTTTTGTGTTTTGTACTTTACTATATTTCTTTTATAAATAAAATATATATCTATTAAGACACTTATACTACTATATTTGGGTACATACCTCTAATTATTTTTAGAATCAGTAGGGGTAGAAAGTAGTTCACTAAAACGAAATAGTTCCTTAACATACGAGAAGAAGGTCATCTGAACTAAATATGCTTGATATACATGAAAGAAGAGAAAATTCCATGTTCAAAACCATTTTCATTTTTGTGTTAACTTTGAAAGAAAAGGAATTGAATTGTTTTAAATGTGCATACCCCGACTTTAGGAATTACTCTACTTTTATTGTCATTTTCAGATGTTTTTGCAAACATTTTGCAGGAAAACGAATCTGACATGCCACCTCGAAATTTTAACCAGTGAGAGAGAATTTGACGAGCTTTCATTTGAGGGGTGTCCCATCCTTCAGCGAAAATTAGGGGAGGAGCTGTATGAGAAAACGTTAACATTGTCGCCTATGTGAAATGTATTAGTGGACTGTACCCATTTATACAATTGCAAATGTTTTTACTTTTTGAACACCATTTTCAAAACTCATATCTATTACTGTATAAACACGGGTTTCTCACGTCATAAAAGTTTGACGTAAGTTTTTATCATTGATGTCATGAAGAGTCAATTCGCGTTCAATGAAACAAAGTTTTGCCGACGAGTTTTGAAAAATAAAACATTAACGCATTAATGATTATAAGCACACAGATATATTATAAATTAGTCAAAAATGTAAATATAAGTAATATGGAATCTTTTAAAACATCTCTAAATAGAGGTTGGTACGTGATCAAATCTACCATGAAGCCCTTTTGGCTTTATGGAATTTGATCACTTGACCAACCCGTATTTATTTTATTGTAGACCAATGATTGTAGTGATATTATTCACTTTCAAATAGCTAGGTCAATAACCTACTTTTTTGCTAGTGACCCCTGGGTATTTATCAGGAAATACCTCTTTTTTTCTTTCTTTTTTTTTCACACTTTTTACAAATTGGACAAGTGTTGTTAAATATTCATTAACAACAAGAGTTTGAACCATAAACTTCTGAAATATTCCAGTCCGAATTCCATCTCTCAATTTTCTAATTTTTACCCATTTTTAATCTATTATTACGAAAATTTCAATGATAGGAACTATAAACCATTTTTAGCATCTTCCTCATTCTGTTTGTATGAAAAATATATGAGATCAATGATTAAATTCTTGAGATATGTTATCTTGAATGGGTTTTGTTTGTATTTTTGATATTCTTTATTGCATGTCATAATCATTTGAGAGAATACATGAGCTATAACACACCTAATATTTGCAAAACGATGTGAAAAAACACAAAGATTCAACACGTGCAGAACAATATTGTAAGAATGAAATATATGGAGATAATGAACAGTATTCAAGCTCAAAAGTTCATTAAACAATACAAAATAGGAGCAGAACAAACACGGACCTCTAAACATCAGAGGCGGGATCAGGTGCCATGGAGGAGTGAGCATCCCCTGCCGACCGGTCACACCTGCCATGTGCTCCTTGTCATGATCGGGAAATAACGGAAAAATCCGTCGACAATTCAGTGTGTAAATAATGGCCTAACAATTAGTATGAAAAACGTCAGTCAGCATTTGACTCAATGATAAATTGTATTCGCTGACAAGGTCATTGTATCGACCATAGAACTTACGAAATGATGACTTTAAACGAGACAGCTGATATTCTTGTTTCATCAACTTGTTTGTCAATAATTTACCTCGTTTTAGAAATTGTACATACGTAGAGCATGCTCTTGCGTATCGAATCAACTGAGAGATATATACCCCGTATGCACGTGATGAAGGTATATTGCTGCATAAGTAAGGGAAGTTGACGATTGAAAAGTTAAAGTCATCACGTTTATCATAAAGCTTGGTTGTTAGATTACCATTAACGTCTTTTTCAAGTAGAATATCCAAATATGAAACAGATGTGTCAGACTCTGTGGTATCTTTTATCTCAAGCTCACCAGGATATATCGTATCGAAATAAGAATGGAAATAGCCATTGTTAATTGACAATACATCGTCGATATATCTAAATGTCGAGTTGAAGGCCACAGGAAGTGTTTTCTTCTTTTCACGAACAAGATTTTGGACAAAGAATACAAAAAAAGGTCTGCTAATAACGGGGCGCAATTAAATATATGGGGAAAAAAATGAAATTTAGTCCGAAATTCCTCTGCATCACTATAAACAAACCTATGATGTTGCATATTTTCTTCAAATAGTAAGAAATTAAATTTAAACATTGCCATATTTTATTACATTGTTATTTTTCTATTTAAAGCAATTCTTGTTTTAAGATTTTGTACTTTTTAGCAATCCGTTTCTAACAACTAAAACCTTGAGTAAACGTCATCCTTAAAAACAAGGACTTTTTACTGTTTTTCAATATAAACAAATGAAATAATTTACCCTTTTCTGAAGAAATATGATTTATTGACATTTTCCAAGTTGAAGATTGATTTATAGGGGTATACATGCACTAGAAGTTGTAGAAAGAAAAACAGCATGCGAAGTACATCTTTTTTTTTTTTAGCTTTTTAAATGCAATAGATGTAAATCTGATATGTTAAACAGAAAAATAAGGTGTTTAACCATGACATTATGAAAATATGTCCAGATATGTCAAATTTTGTAATAATTTCATATTTTCCATTTGATATACTTTCCCCACAAACTTTCTTATTTGTTAATGTATAGATGAAAGTAACCTTTAATGTGCAATACTAACATGATAACAGATAAATAGATTTATGAAGTTATTTGCTCCAATGTTATGTTTATATTAACCAAATACTTTTCAGTTAAGATCAAGTGATGAGAGAAGGGGGTATACGTCTTCTGGAGTTTCTGGTCAGAAACGTCACCTGTTAAGATGAGTATTGTTTTAGGCTTTTTAATTACATAAGATGTTATTCTAAAGATTCAGAGGGAAAAAATAGTTAACAGAAATATGGTGACTAGGGACACGGGATTGATATATACATGTATGTTTATCACTGTTGATCAGAATTTTGCTAAGATTTAGTGGGTCCATCAATAATAGCTTAGTGTGCAAAAAATAATCAAAAGCCGAAAGATAAAGTTCTCAAAACTAGTCATGCGAATTAAGTAAAATTTTGACACAGTGGCATAAAAAATCTTCAACAGCTTCTCCATTTACAAGTAGAAGGCTAATAATTACGGCTTCACAAGCTATCATCTCCATACATCAAAAATCTTAAGACTTTTAATTTCATTCTATACGCTGTGAAGGATCTTGAGATGTCGAGGCATCGTGTGGTTCCTATTACGTAGAAACACACCAAGAGTTGAAGTTCTCTGAGCTTCTGGCGAGACTGTCGGAGGGAACAGACGTCCTTCTAGAAACAAGAACTCGGAGGAGTCTTACTAAACATTAAGCACATGATATAATTCTGGATTAAAGATCCTTCTTTAATTCTATATCCCATGTTTGCTGAAGTAGAGGTAGAATGTTATTCTACTGACTCGGAACATTTACAGCTTAAGGAATACTAGTTGACGTCTGAAAAAAGCAGGAAGTCACCAGGAGGTAGGATACGTTTATTAAAACTATTTTTTTTTAAATTTTGATGTAATCCCTTAGATTAGTGTACTTTTGCAAGGTTGCATTAGACCATATTAAAAAAATTGGTATTTTTTCATCAAAGTGATAAAAATCAAAAATACATGTATAATTTGATCTGAGTTTCCAATAAAAAGCTTACTTATCACAACCCACTTATACAAGGCTTTTAGCTTTTCATGTCCAAATGTTTTTTATAGAAAATTTTGTCGAATGTTTTTGATCTTGTGACTAACTAATTTAACATTGATTCTAATTTTGAAATAAAAAGAATTTCAAAACATACAGGTATAAAATTTTGGTTCTTTGAAGCAACAACGAGTTTAAAGGGAAATATCTACATCCACTGAATATTTTCTCCATTTTTTTTTTTTTTTTTACAAACGCCGATTGTTGTTAATCAGTTAACCACTGACTTTTTTCCTTTATATCTTATGAAAACCGATTGTTTGTTGATTAGTCAATAAGCACAATAATCTTCAAAACTAGTTAGTTGTGTTTTTAAAGCCATGTGCTTCAGAAATATCTCAAAAAATGTCAGAAGTTAACTTTTCATGGCTATTTCACCAAAGTAATGTACGGATCAATAATAGAATGTTTTATGTACTTTAACCCACTTAAGAATTAATTATATACAAATAGATAGAACAATAACATCCCTTCCTTTGGTTGTTACAACGGGGATAAACGGTTGCAATCATTAGATAGAATTACATTATCTGTATTACGTATTTTTGTCAGAAAATGTTGCAACCGTTCCTCCCCTTGTCAACAAACAAAGAAGGCAACTTACTGTTTATATAATTACCAGGGCCCAGGTAAGCTTTGAGTTGATTGACAAGTAGGAATATAAAACAACATTTTTATTTCATACACTTTAAGAATACAAGTTTTACATGAGACATGTTTTCTTTGTTAACCAAGTCCTCGGCCATACTTCAGAATGCTTACTCGCTACAAATTAGAAATAACCTAACAAGCATACTGGTACTTGAAACTGGAATGGCAAAACATTTATTCTGAGAAGTATTCATGCCAATAACACCTTAGTTATCTGTTCTGAAATTAAGTTTGTCACTTTGGTATTGGAATATTGAACAACATTTTACTCTGTGGATGCATGCCCGGTACCCCAGCATGCATGTTACGTAATTAACCAAGAAATATACATTGTTGTTACGTAATTCTCACTATGCTCTATTATATTATGATAGTGAACGCATTTTCCATCAATTTTAAGTAATACTTCTCATATATCTTTCTAAAAAAATTAAATTCAAGTGAAATAGAATACCTTCTGACATTTTTAAAATAGATATTGACTTGTCTCGAAACACCTGGGTTAAACATTATAAAATTTGTTCATAATGTGCGCTGTGATACGTTAAAAATGGAAATCAGCCTTTCCACTTCTTCTGAAATTCAATATTTATCACATTATTTAGAAATCACCGCGTACGCTTGATTCCCAAGTTGTTGTTTTTTTTTTGGTATCAAACTGAATCTAGTTAAGTGCTGTTTGAATGTGGTTGGCAACAAGGCAGATATTTACTCTTTTTCAGCTTTTTCTTATAATGTCAATTGGTTTTAGTAACATTTATTTTCTTTTTTTCCTCTTTCAAATATTTTACTTCAGAAACATTCAAAACCATTATATATTTCGTCATAAATAAAATTCTCACACCTGAAAGGGATGCTTCAACTGAGAGATAAAATCTAATTTTCAAATAAATTTAAAACATTCTGCATAACTCATGAATTCAGAAAACAAGTAATACTAATGGGGTACGAAATGCTGAATGGAGAGATAATTCTATCAATTAAAAGAGTAGAAGTGAGATGAAGAGATTTTCTACATCGATATTATTTATTAAGCATTCCAGATCTTTTATTACCGGTTTAAATCCATTACTCTGCAACAGCGCAGGAAATATCTAACAATTTATATAAGATGTATATAAGATAACAATAAAACATATTGCCCAGCTGTAATAAATAAAAACACTCTTGTTCTACACAACCGGCAGCTCGAATTCAAAGATTGTTCATAGAAGGTTATCTGATTGAAGGGTCTTTTATGATCTGCAATGTTTATACTGGGTGACAATTAAAGCTTATCAAACAACCATTTAAGGCATTGTTTATTACCCCATAAACTTAAATACAGTAAGCTTTGAAACATACATCTCATATATCATATTCGGTCCTTTATTCATATTTATTTTACAATTATTTGATTTTAAAACATGAAATTTACACACCTCCTATTTTTATTGGATGGACAAGATGAAGAAAACAAAAGAAATCTTAGTTGTAACTAGGTTTAGCTTAATTTAAAAAGATGATAGAAGAATGAAGAGGACAGTAGGTAGCGAGATTTCGGAAATGTTAAAAGGGAGAAAACGAAAGAAGTTTAGGAGAAAGGACTGTGAGGATGGAAAACAGGAACCCTCATGTCCACCCAACCGTATCTACACGTCAGTTGTAACAGGATAGCTCCTATGTCCATCCAACCCTATCTACAAGTCAGTGGTAACAGAATAGCTCCTATATCCACCCAACCCTATCTACATGTCGGTGGTAACAGGATAGTTCCTATGTCCACCCAACCCTATCTACATGTCAGTGGTAATAGGATACCTCCTATGTCCACCCAACCGTATCTACATGTCAGTGGTAACAGGATAGTTCCTATGTCCACCCAACCCTATCTACATGTCAGTGATAACAGGATACCCACCAAGCCCACACAACCCTATCTACAGGTCAGTGTTAACTACATACCCCCATCCCCCATGTCAACCTACCCAATCTACTAGTCAATGGTCATTAGTCTGGAACACACCAAATTTTATCACTGCAACGTCTGCCGTTACTTGGTATATTACAAAGTTAAGGTAGTACACAATAGATAGGCCAATTTTTTTTTCCTTAAATTCAATATTTTTTAAAATTTGAACATTTGTTCTAGGATACAAAGTCTTTCTTTATCTAAAATGTAGTCTCTAAAATGACCAATATATAGGATTCTCTCATTTTTGTAAAATATTGCAGAAATATGTCCCAGATTATTAATTTCCTTACAGAGATCACTGATTACTGATATTATAGTGATATTATTTAATTTTTTCTAGTGTACTTATAAGATGTTAGTTAATACAGATTTCATGGGTGTTTTGTACTACCTTAAATGCCAACTGTACAAATATTTTAGAAACATTCATCATTACAGTGTTTAACTCTAAAAACTTAACAAACTAACGATAGGAGGAGTGTTTATCTTTACTGTTGTTGTTCAGGTGGCTATAAAAGTTTACATGTGTTGTTTTTAACAGTATATAGATAGTATTACTTTAAACTATCATTATAAGACACAAAATACAAATCAGGGAAAGAAAGGAAAACACAAGATGAAATGTAAATATAAAATCTTTGAAGTCTTATGTTTGATCCAAGAATTAATACAACATTTTAAAGTTCCATATTATAGGCCTTCAAAAAAATCTCTCTGTAGGATGTAAAAAAAAAATATAAGAAATAAAACCAGATGAAGCGATACAGCAGCAAGGTCATGATAAAAGGTATTCATTTCAAAATTCTGGAGCCTAAAGATAAACACTGCAATGTTTCCTGATAAAAAGATCAACAATGGATTTGATCTATAAGCTCCTGCTATTACACCATGGTTATGTAAAGTATAGATATTCAACACAGCGAGTTATTTTTCTGCTGACTGGTGTATAGATAGATAGATAGATAGATAGATAGATAGATAGATAGATAGATAGATAGATAGATAGATATTAAAATAAAATCCAAGATAAACAAACAAGTTCACATTTAATTATTACACTAAGTGCTTTCGCCGTGAGGCTCTTCAGAGTGTAACAAAGTTTATAAAAACAATACAACTTGGTTGTTATGATGTCGTTATTGTGACGTCATAAAGGCAGCATTATATATTGGCGCAGGTAAATGTCATTAGGGCGCCAAAAGTAGAGAATTGAACATATGTACATTGTGATGAAATAGACTGCTAATTTTAAGCTATAATGTTCAATTTAAATTCAGTTTAGGTTTAAATAATTTTACAAAGTAATCTTCCTTGGCTCTCCGTAATTGTTCATTATTTTCTAGAACTTTATAAAATGGAAATATTAAAAAGTTTCCATTCGCACATGAATCAAAATGTACACTGCATGGCGTATTCCTGACAGAAGGGTCCCGTATTTGTTGTTTATGGACTCTTACGGGGTCAGCTAGTTTGTTACCGGTCTGTCCAATGTAGTTTTCCCCGCATGAAGTACAAGTCATACAGTATATTAATTTTTTAGATTTGCATGACATATTCGCATTTACGGTAAATGTTTTACCACATTTAAAAGTAAACGTCTCTCCTGTTTTTAAATAAGGACAGGTTCCACATAGGGGTCCATACATTTGGCCACTGTGCGTATGTCTTCACTTGACGAAAATTTGAAAAACCAAGTTGTATTGTTTTTATAAACTTTGTTACACTCTGAAGAGCCTCACAGCGAAAGCGCTTAGTGTAATAATTAAATGTGAACTTGTTTAAATAGTTTCCTCCCTCGGGGAACCATAAATTTGCTATTTCCCTCGTACCCATTCCATAACTGTATAATATATAATTATATATAGTTATAGTTATAGATAACGCACTTAGTACTGGAAGTCAATTATCAAAGCATTCAAATACCCCTCTACCCCTCTCAAACAGCATTAACCTCGCTGAAGAGAAACTAAATAGATAAACTGTATATAATTGTTTTTCATTTAAACTGCTAGTGCAATATCCCATCAAAATAGTATACGAAAACTCTGGCAAAGATTAAATAGTGGGTATCATTTGCAATTACATTCTTGCTATAGAAAGGCTCATTGCAAATTCGAATGACAGTAGAGGTTATCTTGAAGTAGTTCAAGTAGAAGAGACACAGAACAACACA